AGGCTGAGCTTTGGCGGTTGTGGGAGGCTGGATGTGGGATCTGCCGCCACCATTTTCAGTTCGGGTCACCACCTGTATTGACATTGGCCTTGGGCAAATTGTGTGGCCTGAATGACTTCAGCTGCCTCATTGGGAAAGGGAACACAGTCACATTTCCAGCCATCTCTCAAGGTTGGTGCAAGAAACAATCAACCAGAAGCACAGCTGAAACCCTGTAGGAAGGTTCTATGATGTTTAGACAGGACAAATCAAACAGGTTCTGTTCTCGGGGATTTTTTTTCTCTCTGAAGGTTTATCTTTACACATGTGTTCATCAGATTATTCGTTAGGTGTCTATTATGTGACAGGCACTAAGTTAGACTCTGAGGACACTGTGGTGAACACGACAGACTGGGGGCCCCTGCTTTCTTGAAATTCATAATCTGGTGAGGATGTAGGAAATAAGCAAGTAAACAAGCAAATAGATATATAATCCAAACCCCGGTTGAGGACCAGGAAGAAAGTAGAGCATCAGGAGAGAGAAGAAGATGGCCCTATCTATGCTCGAATATGCTTAGGAAATCCCAGCCATATTATACAAGAAACCATTTGCTGTGATTACATCTGGGAGAAGCATAAGGGTGGCCAGAGCAGGGGAGTAAGCATTGCTTTTCACTGTGCTCTTCTCTACTCTTTAAATTGATTTTACCATAATTCTGTATTGCTTTTAAAATAAAATAAAATAAATAGTTGAACAAAAAAAGCGGTGTCTGATAAATCATCTCAGTAAGCTTTGTTTTCTTCGTTGTTAGTAAGAAATTATGAAAAGTCATTTATAGATATAGGTATAGATATAAGTATATCCCCATGTTAGGTATAGATATATTTGTGGAGTCAAAGTAAAGCTGAGGACATTTTTGTCTCCATGGTGATGGAAAGTGAAAAAAGGCTGAGCAGATTTAGCGGCACTCTTGAGCCCAGGCCTTCCTGGAGTAGCCAGGCTGTCCCCACTTCCACAGGGACTGAGCTGAGGCGTTGACTTTAAACCCCAAGAGAAACAAGTCCATCTGGGTTTGAGGCTGCCAGGAAGTTATCACAGTCAATCTGGTCACCGCTGAGAAATGGCAGCCAATAAATTACTTTTAATTAAAGAGGCAGTATTCCGAGGACTAAAATCTATGATTCACAAAATACTAAACCTGCAGAAATTAAGATGAGGCAAGGGAAGAGTTGAAAAGCTGTAAAACTGGGTGAGAAATAAAAAGTGGCCCATTAACAAGTCAATGGTGATAAAACTCACAAAACAAGAATTTCAGAAGTGGAGGAGGGATTGACCTAGCAGACACAAATAGGCTTCTCTCATCGAGTCGAGAATCATAAGATTTTTTTTTTTTAAGCCAGCAATCGCAATAAGGACACATTTTCTTTTCATGTCATTAAATAAAGAGGTGAGATTTTCAATAAAAAGGTTTTGGCTGGTTCAAAATCACATCAGAGGGGAAAATATCTATGTCATACAAAATGTCATAGACCCAGAGGAACAAAATATATAATAGTTCTTTGTATCTCTGTAGCTCTTTTGTCACAGGAGGGCAAAGCAACCTACTTCTCGGAACTTCTAGAGAAAATAATCTGGCATTGTAATTCTCTTTGCACCTTCTTTCTCAGGCTGAGAAACCTGAGGTTTCCAAGGTGTCACTAGATTGCAGCAACGACTGGTCCCCTGAATATCCGTGCTGCCATCAGAGGGGCAGGTGCCTTTCCATCCATGCCTTAGGTTTGAAAGCTTCCCTTTTATAAAACACTTCCAAGAAAATACACTTGTTGTCATTGTTCAATTTTCTTAATGTAATTATTTGAAAATGGATTAGGTATGGCCTGGAACCTTCTGTGCTTATCACAGGAAGACAGAACTCCAGTTTGTCCTTTATCCAAATACATGTCTTGTTATTTAGAAGTCGTAGTAACAGTAGTCATAGTTTCAATAGAATAAGAAAGTTACCTATTTAAATTTAATACGTTTGACAGGCATCATTTTGCAAATAGAATTAATGTTAATGGCTGTCATTGGGGCCACCAGCTGTCCTGGTTGGCAGGGGTCTGGGGAGGCTCTCGGAAAGTGGGACTTTCAGTTTTAAAACAGGTCAGTCTTGGGCAAAGTGGGAGACGTTGGTCGTCCGATGAGTAATGCTGAGTGGCCTGGATAATGCTCCCAGAGAGACCAAAGCAGCGGGCGTTATTTCCCCAATGTCAGAGAAGGGGACTGAGTGAGATTCAGAGGTTAAAGCAGCAGGTCTTGTGACAGCCAACGGTGGCAAAGCCTTGCACCAATCTAGGTCTTTGTGGCCCCAAAGTCTTTGTGCAGTCTTTCGATATACAGATTGAAGAAATTGCCCTGTTGTACTTGAGACTCAAACCACACATATTCCGTGGCTGTTCCGGGCATGACTGTTTTGTAGCCTTTGACTCTTTACTTAAACAGGTTGGGGAATTTAGAATCAGCCAAGAACTAAATATTTGCTTAGATTTTTAAGCTTAGAAAAACAGACTGAAATATAGAGCAGAACATTTTCTGTGTATAACCTTTAATAACCTTTTTGTGAAATCTTGCCAATAACTCTAAGAAAAAGCAGTTAGACAGTTCAGAAAATTTACGTTTCCATTCTGGAAAGCTCTCTCACTGCCCACCAGTTTGAGGGGAACGCTGCCCTAAATTTGGCTCATTTCAATAAGGCCTCTGTCTGTTCTGTGCCCCAGTCCACAAAGCTTTAATGCAGTGACACTTGAAATGGAAATTAAATGGAATTAGCCTCATAATTACTACAGTTTTCTTTAGGAAACAAAATTGGTTGTGGGACTTTATGAGTTCTTTGCTTTTAGGGAAAAATAAACCCATCGAAGTCACTGCTGGCCCAGGTGCCTGTTCAGGCTTGAAAGTGCAGAGTGTAAGACTGAATCCTTAGACAGCATTGAATGCTGATGGTTAAAGCAAGGGTAGCCTGACAAAAAAGTGGGGTGCCCATGCGTTCATTCATCTGTTTATTCAACCAGAGTTAAAGTGAGATCCTGCTATGTCTCAAACTGTGCTAGGGGACATGAAGAAAACAATGAACTCCTACCTCATGAAATCAAGATAAGGCTAAAATTTCATATAGCCGAAGTTATCCTTAAACATCCTTCAAATCACCCATAAAGTATTATCTTAGGTTCCCTGGAAGCAGAGCCTGAGGCGAGGATTCTTGTGCAAGAAATGATTGAAGGAGTAATCTCAGGTGAAACCCATAAGGAGCAGGAAGCAAGGTGAGGTGGAGAACCAAGTTCAGGAAACATGTAAGCTCTGCCAAGCAGCTGCAGTGTAGCCTCAGTCCAGTTCCACAGTGAGCTCCAGCAGCATGAGTGACAGCATAAATTTATGCCTCCTTGAGGCAAAATAGCCAGCCTTTTATGTCCCCAACAATCAGTCATTGGCTTTGGGCTGCCTCCAGGAATGAGGGTGTAACCTCTGTGGCATTTCTGGGCGAGGTGGCTCCAATCAGATGAGGGCAGTTTTCAAAAGAAGGATGCTGATGCGAGCAGTTAGCAGCCAAGACTCATAGCAGTTGAGGGATGGAGGCATCAGCCAAGTAAAGGGAATCTGAGAGGGGCGTCGCCAGCAGCTTCTATACAGGACTTATGAGACATGTTAGAAACCCACATGTCATCTATTAATAAAGACAACAGAGCAATTTATTTTTCTCCAGTGGTGCACCAGTCCACTGTTCCTTTGGATGCACTATGGATGAAGTAGTCGGCTTATGTTCAGGGGCTATATCATATGAAAAGACGCATCTATCAACAGCAGACTCACATCCGGCATGGGGAGGCACTCCTGCAGATCTGCAACCGACCGTGTTTCCCAGGGAGCAGATTCTGAGATACCATTCTATAGGATGTTCATTGAGAAGTGCCCTGTCCACACCTGTGGGAGGGAGGGCTGGGAGCAGGAGTGGGCGGAGGGAGAAGTTGGGCCACAATGCAGGCAACCGTACCCCTGAAGACAAATGGCCTGTCATAGCTGGCCTGCTTTGGGCCAAATGGCCAGGCCTTTGTACCTCCTCATTGGGCCACCTTGGGAAGGGCGAGGCCCTGGGTGAGGTGGCTCTCTGCAGCCGAGGCCATTCTGGAGGGACAACTGGAGGCTCTTCACTGGTTGCACTCCCTGCAGCTGGGAAACAGGTCCTTCCTGGAATGGGGATTGGGCGGCACCTATGGCTGTCCATCCACGATGGCGACAACTCACAAGGCACGTCTCATGCTCACTCTAAGCCAATGTCTTTGAATAGAATGGGCACAGAATTGCCCCCCATTAGTTAAAGTTGTTTCCTCTTTAGGGAGGGTGGGGGGATTGGGCACATGTGGTTGAAGAACCTATGGTTTAGTCACTGCTTTAGTATTTAATATGAAATCTGGACTTTCATCATTCGTGTATCTTCACTTAGAAGTGAATAATCTATCCTATTTTTTACTTATACTTACCAAGTCTTTTTTTTTTTCATTTTCATTTAATGACAAGCATTGTGCTAAGTACCTTACATGCATTACCTTTTTAATCCTTACAATAATCTTATGAGGTAGATACTATTATTATTCCCCACTTTTTAGAAAAAATTTGCCCATCGTGAAATTACATAGTCAGTGTTTAAACCAAAGTCTGTCTGACTCCAAAGCCCAAAGCCTAACCACTCTAATAAAACCAACTGTGAAACCTTTCACATTACCCATCGATGGACCAGAGCTCATTCATTCATTCGACAATGCTTCACTGAGCATACTATATGCCAGGCTCGGCGCTAGGTTGGTATTAGAGATTCAACAAGAAACCCATGAAAAGGAGCATATGTGCGTGCGTTCTTATGGGCCATTCTTGCCTCTCTGTGTGCATATGTGTGTGTGTGTGTAACGATCTCAAGAAATTAATGCAGATGTGAGGACCTTCGCATATTTCCTAGTAACTCAATTCACTGTGTTAAACTTTTTTACAGGCTAAAAGAGATGCTAAGCGAATGTCAGCAAAAGAAGTCACTATTAACGTTATAGACAGCATTCGGCAGGCGGACAGAAGTCGAAGAATCACAAAGAACTGCGTCAATTAGCAGAGTGTTTAACTAGAAGGGCAGATGGACTTCTTTGGTGCCCGTCACATACTGGATCCCACCACGGAACTGTGAAGAAGTGGGTGTCCCTCGCTGAGCAGCTCCAACGCTGCTGAGTGCCTTGAGAGACTCTGACCTGGCAGTCGACGGCTGCCTGAGCTGTTGGGACATTCTCAGCCTCCTATTTTTCACGTAAATGTATTGGCACAGCGCTCACATATGGAAATAAACTGCAGATGTGCAGTTTGATTTGCCTCTCTGCAACTCCTTCAGTTTAGTCTGATGTAAAAGTGGTAAGCTCAAGCCACAGGCCAGTTGATGAAACAAAATAGAAGGGGCGGATTCCCAGGGTAGAGTCGCGCGCCCACTCCACCCTCTCCCGGCCACAGCAGTGCACACTGTTTCAGGCAAGCTTATTCTTTGGTTCATTTTTTTTTTTAATTCCACCATCATGAAGCTTACGGTGTTCACTTAAAAGTTGGCTGTCACCCAACTCTCTAGCCAGATATATGAGAAATCAAGAAACAGGAAACTCCCTGTTATTCTTATTGAGCTTGGTCTGAGGCAGGTGCAGATCTAATTTCACACAAACTCACCCCACCAACACCCACAGCGTGTCCTTGGGAGATGGTCTCTATGATGCAGTCACACCCATTTCTCATCTGCCTGCAGCGTCCCCCCATGCTGGTGTCCCCGTCGGCCTCTGAACCATAATATCGCTGTCAGCTCAATGCATCTAACCAAGGATGCCCCTCGAGGCTCAACCAGATACTGCGTTTTTCATGGCTTTCCAGTTCCTTTTGCTTGTGTTCTTCAGTGCTTTTTCTCTTCAGTCGGGTCATTTGCAGTCGTTCATCAAAGACTGGACACTGCTTACAAGAGGGAGAAAATCCAGAACGTGTTGGCGGGTGGGACGCAGCGCCTCCCTTACCCTCTCTGTGCACAGCCCGAGGGCTGTGTCATTTCTGTATCTGCAAAGGGATCACTTTAAAAAGCCAGTGCCCGGTGGGTGTGCAGGTGTGCATTCACATCAACATTAGATTGACATGCACTGTGTTAGAAAACAGGTAGCCGATGCGGCAAAAAATGTCGTTAGGAATAAAATTTTCTAGCATTTCTTTAAACATGTTAAGGTGGAAGTGTTTTCCTCCAAGTACTGTAGCATGATTTGTAAAGGACTGTTAACATGCCTGGGTTTGGGAAAGGTAAGGCTAAAGTTGTACCGAACGATACCAATAAACTCCATGTTTAGCAGAAATAGGCAGCCTGATGGTGTGTGCTTATGTAACATGGTCTGGAGAATTGATATCAGCAGGTTACAATTCGGGTACTCTGCCTCCTTACCTGCCAAATCTGTTATTTCTCAAACACAAACAGGCAGTGTCCCTCCCTCTGTCCCTCCCTCCCTTGCTTCCTAACTTTCTTCAGCAGATTGTATATTTATTCATTAAACTTTAATTGTCAGCCCTGTGTCAGGTGCCATGCAGATGCTGAGAGATTTGGAGTCTGGCCAGTCCCAATTGTATATCCTAAATCTCACAGTGGACTTAATAACAGGAGACTGACTGAGACACCGAGTGATTGCGTGTGCTGTGAATTGCCCCGCAGTGTAATCTCACTTTCACATTCAGGACAGGTCTCAAATTCCAGATCTGGGTGTTCTCCTGATCACTGTATAAGACTTAACTATATACAGAACCACAGTTTTCCCAAACCTCTGTTATTTTGTGATTCTTTGAGAAAGGGCTTTTCAGAAACTTCATGTTTTGAAATTTTTTTTTTTAATAAAATAAAAGCAAAACCTGTGACTCCTACGTCCCCGCAGGTATAACCCAGCAGGAGCCCCCCACCACCAAAGGTGGGAGTTGCTCCTTCAAGTTCAAGGGCTCACTCTCCCAGGGCACGAGCATTGTGGTTTTGTGTCAGGTGTTCCTTCACCAGTCAGTGCTGCCAGCCGTGGACTAAGCCTAGTTTCTCTTTACAACTTTGTTTCTCATCACGTAACTGCTGCATGTTGTTTGGAATTTATCAACTTGAAGGGGTATCTCTGTTTTATATAGGAACAGTTTCCTACTTCTGGGGGAGAATAGAATAAAGGGCTCCCCTCTCTTCTTGAGAACTATCTATCTGGATTTCACCAAGACAGTGACCAGAAGTTAAACTGTGTTATAAATTCATCTGGCAATTTTTTCATGTGTATATGATATAGAAATTGATTCTTACTATCTTATTAGCATAATGCTTTCTATTGCAAAGTCTGTGTCAATAAAGTGATCAATTTCAAACGTGGACAGTTACAGAGAATCTTTACTGGAACCTTAAATTTGTATGTAGAGCTGCTTGGATTTTTTTTTTTCTTTTAAGTAAAGGCCTTTTACATAAGTGATTCCTGTGAATCCTCCAAAAAGCCTTGTGAAATAGGTAAGGAGAACACTATTAGCCCCAATTTACACTTATAAAAGTATTTATGGTCCACTCAGCCAGTAACTGATGAAGGAGGGATTCAAGTTAGGGAAGTTGGTCTGCAAACCCAGTGCTTTTTCCACTGTATAAACTGGTGCCTTTCCCGGCAAGAAGGTGTAGCATGGCTGGGAGACTCAGCCACTTGGTGGGGAGTTGTCACTGAGCCTCAGACCAGGCCAAGTCCAAGTCTAAGAGAGTGCACCAGTGACTAGAGAGGGCTGGTGAGCTCTTGTGAGTTTGCGTCTGGCTCAGGCTTCCTTATCCCCCAGAGAGTGTTACCCTGACCTAGAGTGACAGGGCACCTTTGACGAAGGTCAGAAAGAAGAGCAATTCAGAGGAGATTGAAATTGCACCTCTCAGAATTGCTGCTAAGACCTAACGGTCAGGGAAGCCATGACACCCAGGGACTTCCCCGTTCTGCCAATGCCCCAAATGCTCCTTGGATGTGCAGGTGAAGAACTGT